CCCTGGACAAGTGTCACTACAGCGTGGAAAACAACTATGCATAGATGCCTTGTCGTTAGATTAGTTGTGTTAGTTGTTGGAGCATTTCTAGATCATATTGTGCAAGTGTTCAGTGGTTGAATTGGCTTAATACGCCTTGTCCCGGGCATGTGTTCACCATACTCTTTCTATATTCTCTATTCTCTATTAATCATCCAGACAGCGCTAATGCCGTTATATAATTATGTATTATTTTTGTCAGATTTTGTAAAGAAAATATCCAAATTGTCACAACCTACGTACACAAGCAGTGTTGGGTGATTATACACTGAGAATCGAGGGCACCTCTTGACCAGAACTCTGTTGTTACTTCAATTGGAAAAGCCACCCCAATAAGTGAGGAAGAGCAGCTCATCGTGATTCATACTTTGACAAACAGAACAACAACAATACAACACAGTTTGTAATCGGCACTGTGAAGCATAAATGTATATGCAAAAATAGCTTTTTGACGAAAATTAACGACATTCTATATGCTAGTATACATACCTTTGCACACCACAGGGATATAGTCTAAATGTTCTTGCCATTCTATAGCTACATGCAAGGTGGTGACTTGTACCAAGTTTAATCCTCTTAGACAAGGAATCACGTCTCTACAAGTATAACAATGGCTTTTGAATCCTACCGTGTCTCTTGACTAAACGATGTGAGTTTAACAAGAACTTTGACGATATGGACAGGTGTTCTACTGGGTCTTCATAACTTGGGAGTCTATGTGGCATTTGTGGGGTCTTTGTGTTGCCCTGGCTTGCCCAGTTTGTTTTAAGGATACTCATCAATTAAATCTTTAAAAATCCATCCATATACCCTTTATCATTCGAACTAGAACAGTACAACAACGACCATGTTACAGTATTTGTAAAAACATCGCTCTCATCTTTCCTATGCAAAAGTAAGACTTGTATGCTTGACATGTGCGACTGTGTCCGAGCTGTGTGCACCACTCGGCGTGCCCTGTCCTTTTTGTGGTTTGGGGCTTTTGAGATCTGGACAGAAAAGCCCTTACCTCAAAAGGGATAGGGTTCTGCTGCATGTAGCAACATGTTCACCACTGGACTCCTCTTCCTAATCCACTCTGCTAGGGCAGTCATGCTGTTGTAAGTTGTACTAGATATCGGGTCAACATAGCGTCTGTTGTACGTCCAATCTGGACACTAGTTCTTACGTACATTGGACAAGCGACTGTGGCAGTGGTTGTGCCATTTGCTTGACTTGAGTAGCTAGTTATGTAGTATGTAATCTCCAAGCAGATCTTTTGGTGGCTGCAAGGTAATATCAAATTGGTAAGTTAAGGCAGTATCATTGGCAAGGCAGTATCCAATACGCCACCTGAAGCTGGCAAAAAATACCTGTACCAGAAAAAAGCTAGAGTCCGATAAAACACGTCAACAATAAGCCAAGACCTCTGCTTGGAGAGTACAAGCTATGCATGTACTTTTGCATTCTTGTCTTGGGCCATGGCCCCAAAGCTCCATGTACATGTAGTTAAAAAAAAACAAATCGAGGACAATATACTTCGAGATTGATAATTTTTGTTTTAACGATGTTAAAAGGTGTGTTAAAAGGTTTGTAACGTCCCCTCGGAGAAACTGCAACCCCTACATGGACGTTTACCTTCCACAGGGGGCGCTGTTCGTACATACGGACCTGCAGTTCGAGGCGAGGTTGCAGACCACCGACGTCATCTAACCACGCCTTTTCTAGGGCCTACATGTCAAACAGACGTTAAACCGTTTAAGTTGTGTTGTGTTCATATTCACAGCAGTTAGAGTAATGTTCGTTTCCTTGCGATTTGGAAACAGTAGTATGTGTGCAAATAACGCATTTGGTCAACAACTAGAAGCTGACGTCACATATTTGACGTCAAAGCATATGATGAGACAGCGCCACCTTGCGGATAGCTAAGGTTCTTCAGGGCACTACTTGCAGTTCTGGCCTCAAGAGCAAAGTGGCGCTGTCAATCGGCGAGGGTGATAATGTTAGGCTAGGATGCAAGCAATTAACTGTTGGCTAGCAGGTTCTAGATATAGCAAATTGTTCGACTTGTTTATGACAGGAAAGACTGAGGAAGCCCAGGATCCGGAGGACAATTTAGCATGTGGTTACTCTTGGCCCCTTTCCCAAGAATTAACATTCTACCCATTATATATCTTAGGAACCAACACGGGATTATAGTTTTCTAGCCTGAACTGATTTACACATTTGAAGTTGCTTGAAACCTGAAAAAGGCCTCTAGTCTAGATGATTCCATAAAGCCCGAAACTGAGACTTGTTTCTGTTTCTGGAGCAGGAGAATCCTTCAGAAGCCGCAAGAGGCGACCCCACTTTTGCATAGGAACGTTTAATATTTTTATTCTAGTCATTTTGTCTGCCTTCATCAAAATGAAGGTATAGTTTTCTTTCTGTCTCTGTATTTGGTCTTATAAAGACGAAGGTCAAGGTAAAATTATGGACGTCCTGGTGACTGTCCTTGGTACTGATTAAGTATATCACACAATGTGAGAAAGTTTTATCTTACCTATTCCACCTTCAATGCTCCCTATCGGTAACGCTACGGATTCATCCTGTGAATGCAAAGTTATTGTGTCACTTACGAACTTGAGAAAATCCCAAGGAGGTTTAAAAATACTCAGACGTTTATCTTTGCGCCTGACACTATTTCGGGTTCCTTCATTTTTAGCGAAAAACTTTATGGAAGTTCGATAGCTATACTACGTACTGTCCTAGAACTATCGCAGAGTGGACCCACTGTCACCAATTACAGTAGAGGCATTATCATTAGATAGCTGTAAACAATGTTTAGCTAGGTGTTCAAGGGTTGGTGTAACAAGTTGTTCGGTGTAATGTGCCTGCGAAGCTAGTGTGTTGCGCAGAAGGGCGGTTATACCGGCTATACAGATACAGAAGTATCTACCTATCAGAGAAGCATTTTCTTGACATTACACAAATAATATGATTTGTAGTTGAGTATATGACGTCAGCGGACGGCATAGATGCGTCATAACTATTGTCCATGTGATACTGCATCAAACTGTGTACAAGTCGTAAAATTTGCCAGCACATAAAGCAGCTGTTATGATTCCACGCAGTATCTTTTAATAAACTTGCGGATTTTACTGCCACACGAGTGAGATATGGTAATTTGTCGTTCCTATTATTGGGTAACGACAACAAACAAGTTTATCTACTTTATTGCCATCGGCCACGCGCCGCCGCCATTTTGTATTACTTGCTCTTACCCAGCATCCATAGCGACCGCCATGTATGAGTTTGCTGCACACTTCACAATCCGTAGGTACAGGACAGGTGTCCAATTACCAAGAGATTATAGCTATAGTTAGAACTAGTGAAAGGTTAATGACCCGTTTTTATTCGGTTTATAAGGTGTCGTAAGTCCTCTAATCATCGAATAAACCACTGGGTGAGCGAAGCGAGTTTAAATCCATCCTGTAAGCTTGTCATAATTGTTCTGAATGTAATCGATTCAAATATACAAACAATCCATAGTATTACATGTACTTATTATAAACTATTTTGGATCCTAACGTGTCTCTTGACTAAGCGATGTAAGTTTAACAAGAACTTTGACGATATGGACAGGTGTTCCATTATGTCTTTATAACTTGGGAGTCTATGTAACATTTGTGGGTGTTTTGTGTTGCCCTGGCTTGCCCCCTTTGTTTTAAGGATACTCATCAGCTAAATCTTAAAAGATCCAAAGATGGCAATTAAGTACAAATTGGTTACAATTGCAACTGTGATAGTGTTAGTGCTGCTATTATAGGGTGTGGACACTCAACTACGTATAGTATTAACCTTTAGCACGCTGGAGTACCAGTAGCTAACACTTTAATATTTGGCTACAAATTTTCTATACGTTACGGTGTTAGCCAACAGGGAGACGGTTTTAAAGAAAACACAGATGCATAATGCATCTTGATTCAAGTAGACACAGTATATACGTTACCTTATGTTACCTGTTACCTTATGTTGAATTGCAGTGCCTATTGCAATTGCCAATGTAGCTTCTTCTTTGCCCTTCCTCGACTGTAGCCTAACTTTTATCTTTCGCAGGTGTATACACCAGTACCATAGTAAAAATACGCTGATGGACTTTGGATCATTAACACCCGTCTAAAGTATGTGGAAAGACTGACCGTTGGTCAAGTACCAGTAGTCTTTGAACTTTTGAGCTAATGTACTACTTTGTTAGACTTTACAAAGTCAAAATCAAGTTAATCAACATGCGGTGACGATGTTGTTGACGACGACGAAGAATATACAAGTTGTTTCTCATTCAACCTTTTCAAAACATTCGATTTAGAAAACCTTTAAGTTTGTATCAATATGTATTCTTGGTGAACACAGATTATGATGGTCTTTTGGAGCTCAAAAACCATGATGGCGACTTCTGAAATCGTATGATTCTCGTATCCACCTGTCCGTTGGACTTCGGTCATTTGGTTCTTGAGTATGTCTCAGGATGTGAAACTGGTGGGATAATATTTTCAAACATACCACGCCAATACCTGCGTCAGGAAAAGCGTGAACAACACACTAAGAATTCGTCTGAATGACCTACAAAACAAAGGAATAATAATAAAAACACAAATAGTCGCTAAGACACAGGAAATACAGCACATTACCGGTTCCTGTTTGTTGTTCTTTGAGTGTTTGTTTACGTCTTATTTGTAAACTTTTGTAGGTGTTTCTCGAGAGGTCTGTGGAAGCTAGACATGGCGTCGTGCTCTGACGTCACTGGGACATGACGTCATGAGATAAATGAGTTTACCGACCCGCAGCCTCACAAATCTGTAAACAATTCACTTCACAGCGCTCATAACAATGCTATCAACAAACCCAACAGTACGCACTGACTGTAAACACTGTGCGCCCTTCCCTGCTCGTAAACTAGGCGCACTATTTGCACGATTTTTAAAAATAAGGTCGTAAAAAACGGCCAAAATTAGAATTGCTGGTTATAAAATGTTATTAAAACTTCTAGGTGGGGTTATTGTTTGATTTACCTTTGGCCTGAATATGAGCTAATCGGCTGATTATGTCTTTATAACGGACACGTCATTCCTGTGGCGTTTGTGCACCACCTCATAGGCGCGTCTGTTATCGGGGCTGGGTCATAATGTGAATTATACAGCCAAGATAACATTGAAAACCTTAGGGAAGCGGTTTAATTAAAGAATGTGTAGAAACGGGGGTGGAGAGCGTTTCTGTAATTCTCACGTCGGAGATATCCTGTGGAAAGTAAACAGAAGATGTATAAATGCTGACCCGGTCTGAGCTATGCTAAGTTGCAGACGACCGAGGTTTGACGAACGCACACGAGCAGAGCCGAGCACGAGATGTACCGGTCCTTCTTCGCCTTCTCCCTGCTGATCGCAGCCTGCCTGGCCGGCCCTGTGCCCGTGAGTGCGCTTTTACAACTTTTCAACCAATCTTAGACCTATTCCTTCTTCATTTTTGTTCCCTGGTGTGTCGTACCTTCCAAAAAAAAGAGAGATATTGTGACCGACGAACAGTAATTCTCTGTCGCCCTAGAATGGTCTGTGTGAGACTGGGCCGAATCTGAATCTGTATTAATCTGAATCTATGGCCCCATTCCCACTAGGGTAAAATTGTCCGGATCAAGCCGAATTGATTGGTTTTGATCCGGCTTCGATCCAGCTTGAAGCCGACTCGAAGCCGGACCAAAGCGAATTAATTTGGCTCGATCCTGACAATTTTACCCTAGTGGGAATGGGATCTATGTCAAACCGTTCAAACTTTGTTTCAGACATAGTTTCAGGCAATTACATTTTACTACGCAGATTTTGTAGTTATTTTGTACCCTGTTTCAAAGTTCTTTTGTCCTCGATACCTGCAATTAGCCTTCTGGCAGGAATTTGCAATAAATCAATATATGGGGAAAGTATTGTAGACAATTCTTTCTTACAGTTACGTTTTCTCCTTTCTTTAACAGTTGAACAAAGCAGAGGAAGATGCAATACTGTTACTGGAAAAGAAATGTAAGTAACGTACTCGTAGTCGCGTCAGTGACACGGCACCGTTTCCTGTTGTAGAGTACTAGTTTGTTGTGGATACAAACAGTCGGACCGTACATGTGCACAGGCGATTCATATTTTTGCGTAGCCAGACTGTGATATTTATTCATCGGACATGATTTGTTATTCGAATTTTGTATCCACAAATGTAAGATAGCATGCAGCTAGTCCGGGCTTGCCTCAATAGCAGACGTTCTTTTTGCATGTCCTCTTTAAATACAACAGCAACACATGTACAGAATATATTTCATACCATCTGCGGCAGACTGGATTGTAGTGCAATATCAATATTTGTTCATGTAGTAATACAAGATAATTGTGGTTCTTGTCATGGTGTAGTGCAGTATCGACATTTCGTCATTTCGCATAGTGCAAAATAATCAGGGTGGTTTTTGACCGCAGTGCCGAAACAGAAGCCCCTGCGGACGAAACAGCAGGCAGAGAAGGACATCATGGACCAGATTCTGGACGCAAACAACGGTAAGAACCTTGATATCCGAGTTTTACATGTCAAGTCTTCTCGTTTTGTTTCCGTTTTTGCTATGAAGATATTTTACAGTAATGCGTTACTTTTGCGGGTATCTTGACATCGGAACCAGACCCGACCAGGTCTTCCGTACACTTCAGGAGCTGGGGGTCACCAGTACTGATTGATTGATTGATAGACTGACTGATCGGTTGATTGATTGATTGATTGATTGATTGATTGATTGATTGATTGATTGACTGACTGACTGATTGATTGACTGACTGACCGATTGATTGACTGATTGATTGATTGATTGATTGATTGATTGATTGATTGATTGATTGATTGATTGATTGATGTTTTGTTCTTTTCCGTATTGCAGAGCTGAACCTGTTTGAGGGTGATATCCCCGGAGTGTCTGTGGTGAGTAGAGACGATCACATGTACTTGAGCGTGTATGTATGTATTTATGAATGTATTTATGTATGTATGTATGTGTTTGCGTGTGTGTGCGTGCCGACTGATGTAACCGGTATGTGTGTCGAGGGGGCTGACATTTGCCTTGGGAGTGTACACCCCCTCAGGTGTCACACGACATAAATTAAGGAGAAATATATCAATTGATACTCCACAGCCCGACATGACGATGATGACAAATTATCCACACTGACGACTAGCCTGAGCCTGTGAAAAAGACTCGGTTCATGTCTTACTGTTACTCGTTGATTGGCGTCCAGCTATGGAACTCTGTTTCCAAGATGCTGTAGTTCAAGCTCAATGTTTGTTCACCTCACCACTGACACAGTCGATACCAGACGCAGGAAATTATTATGATTCCTTTGTCAAAAGACTGTACAACACCAATAACAGTATTATACACGGTCTCATGAAGCCTGATTATCATTTCAGAAACTCTTCTTTTAAAAATATGTATACATTCGCTAAAATATATATAAACTGTCGTATTTATGTATAGTTTATTTGTATGTTCATGTTTGTACGGCTGTTCAAATGAAGAACTTCTTCCTTTCCTCGCCCTCCCCAGAACACCATGGCCAGGAACGCCATCAGGGACGTGACTAAAGTCTGGACCTCCCGAAACATCCCCTTCGTCATCCAAACCACCGACTTCAGTAAGTACATTCCTCCAACACATGTACATTCATGGTTTGTAAACGCAGGATCATGTACTTTAGCAAAAAGGTCCATAGTTATGTTAACCTTCTCAGAGGGAAACATACTGTTTAGATCAGTTTCTTCTTCTTCTTCAAACAAATAAGGTCAATGACTTGGACCAGACATCTGTCACCATGGTAACTGGTGCTGTAGCAAGCACCCTTTGGTGTTGGGTTACATTTTTGTAGCAGAGTTTGAGGGACTGGTCAATATATGTAAATGATATGTGCTTGACTCATGAATATAAACACATCAGTAGTTTGTTTCCTTAGACCATGTGAAGATAAACATTAGGAATTTGCTTTGCAAATGTTACATTTCTAGTTTGTAAACTACATGCATATTTCGAATAAGAACCCGGCAGACTTTGACGACCTGGTATTCCCGCCCTGCCGTGTGTAGGTAGCTCAGAGCTGGCCGTGATCGACCAGGCCATAGAGGAGTACCACCTGCAGACCTGCATACGGTTCGTGCCGAGGACCAACGAACCTGACTACATCCACATCAAGAAGCTTACAGGGTAGGCGGGACGTGGCTTCCTCCGTTCCTTTCTATTTGGAAGATTACTTAGATAAAAAATAACAACAGCACCGGAGGGGCAAGATACGGTCGGGTGTGTGTGTGGGGGGGGGTGCTCTCTGTAACGGTTGAATCATGATCAAAGAGTATTGAAGAAAACATTGGTTGTACAGTGGGGGTCTTGTCCCAAATTGTATCTGCACAGCCATAAGAGCTTTTTGTTTTCCATTTTCATACATTACGGCCAGCGCTGGTGTACGAGAGAGATGGAAGTGTTTTCGCGAGTTTTGCTTTCATTCGTTTCAGAGGAGCGCCGTGTATGTGAGGTGTTTTAACAATAAGTCTCTTTTTCCACACAGTTGCTGGTCTGGCGTGGGGGTGGCTGGCGGAGAACAGGAGGTGTCGTTCGGGAACGGCTGTATCCACAAGGGCATCATGATGCACGAGCTCATGCACGCCGTCGGCTTCTGGCACGAACAGTCCCGCAGTGACAGGGACGACTGGGTCGTCATCCAGTGGGAGAACATCCAGGAAGGTAAGAACACAGAAGTTGTCAGCCTCCATTTGCAGGCTTTTTTTATTGGATTCTCATATGTGCTGAACATGCACGTCCTTTTTGGTCACATACTGAAATGCTGTCGTCCTTTTTCGGAAAGATACACCGCCAGTCATGGCTCTAGTCTGGTATCCGGTCTATCGTGGATTGGGTGGGCTCTCTTCGGGACTGTGGCAGTTCTCTGCCGCCTGACTCAACTAGGCGCCCAGGAGGAGTTTTTTTTGCCGCTCAACCGCGTGAAACTCCTGCAGAGTGCCTAGTTGAGCCGGGCGGCGTATAGCTCCTGCAGCCCCGTAGAGAGTCCGCCCAATCCACGACAGACCGGATACCAGGCTATCATGGCTACGTCTGCAAACCCTACGTCTGCAAACCCTAAGTTTAGAGATTAACACCACTATAGTCCAATAATCCTACATTTCAACCATCGTTACAGGGAAGGCACACAACTTCAACAAGTACTCGCAGACCGAGGTGGACACGCTGGGCGCGACCTACGACTACGGCTCCGTCATGCACTACAGCGCCACGTCCTTCAGCAAGAGCGGGCTGCCCACCATCGTGGCCCGCACACCCACGGAGGAGGTGATGGGCCAGCGGAACGGCTTCAGTACCCTGGACCTGCAAAAGATCAACCAGCTCTACAGCTGCCGTAAGTCTGGGCTTCGTATTACTCTGTGTCATCTGTATTGGGAGTTTGATAAATGGGACATACATACTAGAAAAGAATAGACATTGTTAGATACAACTAATGCAATTTAGGGAGGTGTTTGATAGTATACGTATTTGTCGATAGCCGGCAAGCTTCTACATCAAGGTTTTGCGCGAGGGAGGTTCAATCTCCATTGACTTTGACTTAATAACTTCATTGGGATCCACCATCCTTGTATCATGCCGGCTTGTATCATGTATAGACATGCATGCATGTATATCATTGCAAAACCCACAACCAGTGATACGTCCATCTCTGACACTACTTATGAGATTTTGTCCATGTTTTGAATTCCATATTTTCGTTCTGCAGACATGCCTGTCGGCTGGAGTGACTGGTCGGCCTGGAGTCCATGTGACGATACCTGCACCAAGACCAGGCGGCGCTTCTGTTCCGACCCTGCCGGCTGTAGCGGACATACCACCGAGACACAGACCTGCCCCTGGCCTTGTATGGGTGAGTTCCGCTAATCTAATGTTCCTTCATCTGGCGTTAGTCTTGTATGAAGACCTTGCGATTAAATGGATCCTCCGTAACTTTCATTTTTCAGTTATTCAAATTGATGCAAATGATCCGTGAATTGTAGTACGTATTCCTAGCCTCTACCTGGCTTCGGGAAGCAGCTGGAAAGAGTAGAAATTGGACAAATAGACAGATAACATGCCTGAGGAGTTGTTCCGTTAAGGAGTACATTTGCCGCACTCGTGTTCATTCATCCTCAGTGGTGAAGAAAAATTGATGCATGAGTAAATGACATATAATTTTTAAGCATCATCTTATAATATCTGATTACGTAGTTCTACTTAAAGTTGTCGCCATTGGCCCTTGGCAGATTTTGACTGTTAGTTTTCCCCCGGTCCTAGCTGGTGTTCACCCTGACTGTGGCAGCAGCTTTCTCGGCGGCCCCAGCGGGGAGATCAAGTCCCCCATGCACCCTCAGAACTACCACGACTTCCTGAACTGCCAGTGGCTCATCAACGCCACCGGATCTGACCCCATCACCCTCAGCTTCAAGGAGTTCTCCGTGGAGGCTGGCGGCGCCAACTGTGCTTATGACGCTCTGAAGGTACGAATCTATGATAGTCAGAAACTGTCTCAATATGCTATCTTGGAAGTTCATCTGTGTTGGTAGAAGTCATTATGAAACAAGTTTGAACTGCAATTGCCAACACAAGAAATTGGACTTTCACAAAATTTCGACTGTACAACTCCAGTCATTCCTTGACAAAGGCTGGAGTTGCACAGTCGAAAGTTTTGGTAAGTCCAAATTCTTGTGTTGGCAATTGCAGTTCAAACTTGTTTCTTAATGTCTCAATATGTGTTGTTGAAATATCATGTATGTGTAAAGATATATGTCAACGGATTTATATGGATTTGTAAAGACTTCAACCCGTATGTTCTTGTATTTTGCCTGGCCCTGACCTCTTCCCCGAGACCTCAATTAAAAGTGGCCAGCAGACCGATTAGAGCATTTCCTTTCATGATAATAAACAAAGGCACAAACAAAAATAGATAGAAACGGTCATTAAAAGCTTGGCAGACAAAAGTTAATGTGCTCCAGATAGAGATGATGATATTAGTGTTCGTCTATATAGTAGAGGGGATTCATTCCTCAAGCTAACCGACATCTCGCACACGCAGTCGTCCCTCAGTAAGACATTTGAAGCGGCAGACTTCCCGTTTGAACTTTTATTCAGTCTGCATACTGATATTACTGCTTGTCGTTAGTTATGTGTCCGTGCACACGTACAGTTCCTGACGAACGTGGCTGTTTCTGTAGGTGTACGATGGCGCGAACGACAAGGCACCTCTGCTCGGTACCTTCTGCGGAGAGGAAAACCCACCGGAATTTACGTCATCGGGAGACCGGATGTTCATCACCTTCTCTACCGACAGCTCCTACAACCAAAGGGGATTCATCATGGAGTACTCCAGTGGTAAGACCTATTTTCATGAACTAGTTACTTCCGTATGCGGATGTATTATTTTGGGTTGCTGAGCTGTGGGTTTCTGCATCTATTTGTCCGGACAGAGTAGGCTGAGAGGCAAAATGACAGGAGTTCAGAGGTCTCAGAACCTGTAAGGGGGGCAGGGGGTTTGCATGGGGGAATTCAGGAAGCAGAGGATTGTATACTTCCCGTCTGAAACCTTCGATTTCTTGTATGAGAAGGAGTGGGTCGTAATGAGATACAGGGTACATGAATACTACATTTTTTAGAGATCGAGAGTCTTTTTAGCGTTTCTTTCCAGTGTTTTATACATCTACTCGCTGGTATAGATGATGGAGGTTAATGTAATGTTCACGTCTTCTGACTTGTTGATTACTGGTATTCTTAGAACAGAAAGCAACTCCAGGAACAAACGCCAACACAGTACTCATATCAATTTCTTATGTCGATGTATATAAATGCATGTATTCCTTTTATCTTCCAGTTCCACTACTGACGGACTGTGACTTCGACACCGACATGTGCACCTTCTTCCAGGACAATTCGGACAACTTCGACTGGATACGTCACACAGGGTCCACTCCGTCCGGACAGACTGGCCCGACTGCTGACCACACCAGCGGAACGGGTAAGTGATGATAGAACAAGAAATGCAATTTGAAACACCACTTGTAGAGAAGATAAAGCATATGCATGTGCCCATTTTAACAACACATACGAATGTAGTCTAACTTGTAGCGTTGAAATACCGCCTTAGCTTTTATTTCACCTTATCTAAATGTATTAGTGACTGTTCTGACCATAAAATCTTTCCTTTTGCACATGTGACCCCAAACTAACAAACATTTAGATTACCCAGAGCCACATAGAACAAAGATCATGTATATCCCACCGCTGACACCAGTTTTAATGGTACAACTAACGAAAGTTGATTACCTACATGTATCCGTCTGGTAGTCGTAATACATAGTATCTGTTTCATTGAATGTGAATCTTTCAGTGAAGCATTCCCTCCCCCCATCCTTGTCCAGCAATATAGGCTTAAGAAAGTCTTAGTGATGGCAAACATTTTGTTTGTTGAAAGATTGATTTGTTGAGATTTACCACATTTGAGGAAGATGGGTGTTTCCTTCGCTGACATTCTTATCGACTTTTTCCCCACTACAGGACACTACCTGTTTATCGAGGCCTCCAGTCCCCAGGACGTCGGGCACAACGCCATCCTCCGGTCCCAGATCTACCCGCCCAGCTCCGCCGGGTACTGCCTGGACTTCTACTACCACATGTACGGGAGTATGGTCGGTACGTACAGTCTCTTTCATTGTCTTCGTACCAATCATTACACTTGACAACAATCCATCCATGGTGCCGTACGCGTGTGTTGTTTGAAGGACGCTTTTAGCATGCAGGCCCTTCCACTAGCCAGACCCTGCTGCAATCGAGAGATAGTGTAACACAGGCTAATACTCGTACATACAATTCCAGTTTTCTGTATTTTGGGGAGAATTTACTTTTTAGTCACTTGGTACCATTACAAAGCCCTGGTTTGATGTCCACTCTGAAACAGCAATCGAATGAGGGCTGTTACATATACGTAATGCTATCCATACCGTCTATGACATATCTCATGTCCACGTCAAATGTACTATTAAAACACGCCTTTCCTCCCCCTACAGGCGACCTGAATGTCTACCTCTTCACCGGAGTGAGGCAGGAGGAACCTACCTGGAGCATGTCCGGTAACCAAGGCAACCAGTGGCTCCGCGCACGCGTCGAGATCAAACCCACAAGCAACTTCCAGGTGGGTACAACATTGCACTCTAACTGGTAATTACACTCTCATTGGCCCCATTCCCACTAGAGTAAAATTGTCCAGATCGAGCCGATCGATTTGCTTTGATCCGGCTACGATCTGGCTCGAGGCTGGATCGACGCAAATCAATTCGGTTCGATCCGGACGATTTTACCCTATTGGGAATTGTGTCATTGTCGACATGAACTAGATGACGTCAATTTTGCCGGGGGTCAAAAGGACCCCGACTTTGGGTACTAGTATTGCGTTGGGTGCTTGGGTGCTTGCATATGAATGAAAATCAAGCAGATGACATGAGGGAAAAACTGAATGAAACAAGGAGTGACCCAGTTCTTTGCCACACATAACATAAACTATTACAACATATCTCTTCTCCGTTAGAAAAAGCTCGTTGTACATCACTATTGTGCATCTATGTCCAGTCTTATTAGTCCGTTCCATGTCACCAAGGTGACCAATTTTTTTAGTCACCCATCGTCATCACACTAACGCCACCCAACCAGCTATTCCCATCTTACCCCCCTCCCCCCGGCCAACTTTTTAAAAAGTATTTCTTGTTTGCACTTCTTGTTTGTACCGTTCTTACAACTTAATAAGTTACAAGTACTAGCGGAATAGGCAAGCTAGTATCTGCCCCACCATGTACCCATTGCTCAACATTATCTAAAAGTGGCCTCTTCTTTCTCGTCATGTAGCTCATGTTCGAGGCCGTCCGAGGCGGTGATTGGCGGGGAGACATCGCCATCGACGACATCAAGCTGATCAGCCACCCCTGCCAGTAAAATGGACCATCCAAGCAGCGACTAATACGCCCCTCACCCCCACATTGCACTTTGCACTTGTAGATTTAGAAAAAAACACCTTAATATATATTCACGTAACTTATATTGCACAATAACGTGTACGTTCTGGTGAATCCTTTTAATTACAAGAAAATTACAGGCCTGACCTGTGCAGGACGACAATACACCGCAAGGTGGCTGAATTATACCCGATCGCGATGGCAGGACCATCTCAGTACGTATTTACAAGGAAGTTTGAAGGTCTCTCTTTAACGTTCTTGTTATCAACATTTGGCATTTCCGAAAAAGTTAATATATAAAGTATTTATTTTTTGTTTTAGAAGCACGTTTGTTGCACTATTTTAAGTTATCGACGCTGACCTTAAAGGTCAATAAAATACAAGCATTTGAGAAAGAAGTGTCTTTATTACTGTGTCTCATTTATTGTTGTATGCTGTCTCTTCAGATCTGAGAAAGTCGTTAAGACTTTGTCCTGTTATGGGATAATATCCAGAAACAACACTTTTTCTTTTGACAAACTCTGAACCTCATACAGTTTTCTCTGGCTTTTGTTGACAGGATATTCACTCCTACTGTGACAACAAAATGCTATCATAACCGCTTTTGATGTTTATAAACAGTGCTAAGCAGTCTAATAATAATACTCTGTACCAGATTTCAGAAGCGGCTGGAAAAATTAGAAATTGGCAAAATAGTTAGATAACATGCCAAGGAGCAGTAAACTGTATACATAACTGTACAGACTCCCCTGGCATGTTATTTGTCTATTTATGCTCTTTCCATTCACCTCTGAAGCCTGGTAGAAGCTATTGGCCCGCGGTCAGGCTAACAGTTACCCTTGGGCAACTGATCATGAAGCCTGGGAGAGGCTATAGAATAATCATTCAAATCAAAACTTTCCCCCATCCACGGCTAGAAGATCGTGAATTTTACTAGTCCAAAAAATGATAAATCATACATCGGATGACGTACAGTTGAGATGTTTTATTTAACCATGTATTTAAGTGTTGGAATGAATATGTTCACCAGTTCAAATCAAAGCACGCAAACAAATGGAAACTCGAATATGTAACAATATGCATGTATATAATCATAATCCAATCTATTCTGAAGATATATATTTTAACTCTACTTCATTCTGCTTTTGGAAATTTCAGAGCGATGTGAGCTATAGTCATGGTACATATACCGAATTTCAGGATTCCCTAGCCTAAATGGTCACTCATTATTTGTCAAAACTTGCACAAAACCTTGGTACATCTGAATCACTTGTCGGTCTCAGTGACTGTCCTAAACTGCACAAATAGCTGACTGTGGCATGCATGTAGGAGGATCAAAGATAGTAGGTAGACACAGACTGTTGTCACTTGTGTTGAGTATACCCTGGAACCAGTTTCGGCGGAAACGCCCACTCAGACACTTAGAAATCAGACCCTTACAGACACTGTGTCGTTACGTCCTTTTTAGGATGCCGAAAAATGCAGACTGGCTGAGATTCAAATTTTGGATGTTAAAAGCCTCACCGTTTCATTACAGATCCCCCAATACCATTCTTACCCCAGGATATGCTTGAATACTGCTTTAATGTTCGTTACTCCAGACAGCACTTATTCCATCCAGCAGAAGTTTATTTTCTATTTCTTCCTTTCTTGTCACTTAACATTTTATGATATTGATGACAGTTGCAGAATTCCGGCGTAATGACGTCACTTCCGTTTGCCGAAGACCGAGGTTGGCTCCCCTCCCCCCGGCATGGGCACGGTGTTGTACCTGTTGGCTTTGGGCTGACCCTTGTTCCACACGCTCTCCTCTCCTGTGGCTTTGTCTTTGTTAAACACGGAAGGTGCATCACCTAAAATCAAGATAAACACGACTTTGAGTCAAATTTAGGCACCTTCGACGTTAGGGGCGATTATTGTCTGAAAATGAGATGATACTCAAGCACATGCAATATGTTACAATAAGCATCGAGCAAATAAATCAAAGAAATGATTTCGCAGAACGTTGCTGTGTTGTGAACTTAAAAATTGACTTCTAACCCGCCATCTTTTAATACCTGCATAATAAATCTACTGAGAACAACATTGACAGGTGTCGACAATCTCCAAGCAGATCCTACGGTGGCAAGAAAACATATTGGCCAGAGGAGTGCCTGCTAGCCACTTAAGGCACCGGAGACTAAAGGACAATCCTCTGGCCAATGGCTTCTGTCTTGCCACCGTAGGATCTGCTTGGTACCTGTGCTTACCTCCCATCTCCTCCAACATCCGCCATGTTTTGGACTTGCCTGCCCGGCCGCTGCCCGACTGTAGTCCTGACTTCGCCTCCTGTACCTCACCTTCCTGTACAGGGAACTGGTCCTTGATGGCCTGGTGTGGCGGGATTAAAAAGTTATACAAACACTCTCACTTGAAAATTTTAACAATTCTTGATACTATAGCCTAGATTTTAGACCAGAGTCTATGCCACATTGTCAGTATCACACCTGCTTGATAAGCAATAGCCTCCACAGGGCTTCTTAGGGATCATAGATAGTAGATCTGGACAGAATACTCATAGAATTGGCCAATAGAATCAGTCTGCTGGCCTATATCATGATCAGTGTTCAGAGTCGAATGGAAAGAAAAGAAATTGGTCAAACAGAGTTACAGACAGATAACATTCCAGGGGAGTTAGCTCGCTACGTAAGGAGTACAGGCGAGTTCCAAACTACTGTACTCCTTTTAACTCCCCTGGCATGTTTTCTGTCTATTTGGCCAATTTCTACCCTTCCAGCCGCCTCTGAAGTCTATGAGTCTACGAGGTAAAGGCTATGAGCCCGCGATCAGGGTAACAGTTACCCAGGACAAATGATACCCTAGATGCCAAACCCCCTAATCTCCAAGCAGACCCAAGGGTGGCAAAAGACAGTATCAACTTAGCCAGGCTGTATCCATTTGGGTGACGCATTGGACACTCTCTGGCTAATGTATACTGCCTGGCCAAGTTGATACTGTCTTTTGCCACCCTAGGATCTGCTTGGAGATTACAATTTTCCCCCATCTGGCAAAATTTTACTATTTTCAGCCAACGTAGTTAGTCTGGTGGAGACTAGCCAAGCAAGGCTACGCACAAGATGACGGATACTAGACGTCATGCCAAACCAATGCATTCTTCTTGTCTCGCTACCCGCTCTAGTTCCCAGCTGCAGGAAGCTAATACATGTACATGTCTGGCAACTGGTCAACTATTTCTTAACTGGGACGAGCGAAAATAAAGAAAGGGATAAAAACAGATCCATGGCCGGATAAAGGGTATAAATACAAGGTTTTTGCGCGGTTCACTAAAATTAGAATTTAGGGCGAGGAGTTCCAAACATAACAGATATCAGGCGTGGGGTGGAAAGAAATTTAGATGAGGGTTAGAAGTTCAATACATTTCCGGCATGTCCCTACCACGTTAGGCTTTATATAGCCTAGTCAGACAGATTTGGAGTGTGGTTTATTTGGCTCAAAGTTCATTAGGTAACACAGTAGTGACCTTATCAGTGTAATGATCAAGCCAAGGAAGATGCGGTCATAAATTAAAGGACAGCAGAGTATATATATACATCAACACAACGATTTCAATGCGTTTATAAATGTACTATGATGTAACCTACCGGACTAGATATGTAGTGTTGAAATTGATACATGACGGATTTTCTGTAATGTCGCATGTAATTATGCGAGAGGGGGTACATGTGTGTGAGTTTTGCCAACAAGGAACATCATACAAAACTTAACTGGTTCTAGTTTAGGAGCCAATGACGCGTATGTGCCGAGGAATCATCAATATTTACAAGCTCTCTGTGCTGACTTGTTATACAATACGATATTAAGTTAATTTTGTTTCTGTGACTAGGATAAAATACAAATAATAATAGAGTTCGACGAGTCTAAAATGCAGGGAGGATCGAAGGTACTAGTACCCTCTACCAAGAGCAGAAATTGGCCAAATAGACAGATTTGTGCTCCTTTAATTAGTGGACCAACTACTCCCCTTACATGTTATCTGTCTTTGGCCAATCTTTACCCTTTCCAGTCACCTCTGAAACCCGGTAGAGGCAAGAAGAAGGGGGTAATTCATTTGACATTCTCCCTCTCTCAAGTCAACCGTATATCGACCAGCTTTATCCGCTGGGTAAATCTCCGCGGTGTTAACACATTCTTTACGACTGTGTACCTTTTGTGATGATGGAGGAAACGTGACCCTGCCATGGACCAAGACTAAAAGGCGTGCGTGAGAACTGGGTTAGCTCTGTTTTGGTTAGACGAAACCGTATACTCCTAACTTTGAACAAAAGAGTTGAAATGATGGCAAGTTTTAAATCTGTCTTCAGGTTTAAATTTTGAGTCTGTCGTAATTCTTAACATCCTTCGTAATGATTTGACATATTTCTTCTTTTCCTTGAGTTTTGCTCTCCATTATTAACAATACACAGTTCTGCAATGTTCAACAGTCATGTAAATGTCAGGGATATCCTGTATCAGCAACTAGAAGACCACCCTTAGTGGATAGAAATGCCGCATTGCCAGTAGAGCGTATCCAAAATACCTTACAACTTGAGAAAAATCGAGTATAGAGAACTAACGTTATATGTAACACGTTAGCTGGGGATCCCTGGCGAAATGAATCTGAGTCCCTCCCTAAATGTTTCTGATCTCTAATGACCATATTTGTGTAGACTAGGCAGCGCTGCAGCTGCCGCTGTGCCTGAAGGCAACAAGATGGTGACTGAAAATGTCCCAGACAAAAAAACAACACATCTGTGCAAATTTGCCTTCTTATAGTTTCTAGCTCACAGTTTTCTTCTTGAGCGCTGTTACATGGCTGTTCTATTCTAGCAAACGACATTGAAAACACTTCAATGTATCACAGGTTTTGCCCTCGCTCCGTTCCTATGTAATTCCTAGCGGCCTCTCTAAGGCACTAACAGTATAAACTTTGTTGGCATTCCTTTGAGTATGCTTGCAAAAAGACTTCAAGAGAGAGAGAGAGAGAAGTAAAGAGACCGACCTTTTGCTCTGGTGAAAGGTTCCCGCCGTCTGACATCTTTCCCGGTTGTTTTTGCAGTTCTGCTCTGTTCCACAGTCTCTCAAATGACTCCCTGGCTGTCGACAGTGTCCGGACGCGTCAAGGTTTTAATAAGATAAGGGCCTGAGCCCCTACGTCACATCAGACTGTGCGGAATTCGGGCGCGCCAAAGTTTGCTTCCTGAGCCAAGGTCGGACAGAATCCGTCTGCCCAAACAAGCGGCATGCATGGGCGCTCCCGGGGCACGCACTTGACATGTTTGTATACTTCACAACTCCAAGCTGTTCACATTTGTCAAGGGGCAGGCTTTTGACACCATCTATGTCCCTGAACTGAGGGATGGTGCCATAGATGACGCTGACATTCCCGGATTAGTGTTACATTATGACTCAGTCGCTATGTAAAAAAATGATTTGTACTGATAATGATGAGGCGCTTTGCTATGAAAAACGTAGGACGCCCACTCACCCCGGGCCCTCCAAGGGTTTCAATGAACAGTACCAATAATCCCGAAAGCTATTAGAATGTAAGCGGAACTCAGCAGATGAACCTGAGCCCCAGAGCCCTCATTGGCTTTTGATCGGACGCGAAATATGACAAGAGGACTGAGCTTTTGATCCACGACTAGAAAATAGGACAAGGCCTAAAGTTATCTTTTAATCAAAAGCAATCGTTTCATCCCATGGGGCTGTTTCATCCGTCCTTTTCATATTGATTGTCACTGCGGCCCATTCCCTTGACAACGGTCCTTACAGTTATCAAATCAAATAAAGATATGACATACATACTATATCTTCTTTAGATTTGGCGCAACTGAAAGTAACAGAAAGTTGATTAGATGATAGACTTTTTCCCAGAAATTTCCATGTATGCCCATAACTTAAATTTTGTCTAGGTAACTTAAGTTCCCTCCCTTTTATACACACATTTGCTACTTTTCGTATTGCATCATGATACCAGCAGTGGTGGCACTGGATATCTATGTGATAGCGTATAGACCTCAAACACTAGACGAAGGAATAGTTATTCCATTTAATTCCTTTGTCCTATCAGGCAGAGGTCCGTCGTCGATAAGTCCAACTTGAGAAGAAGTTTGCCAGAGCAGAGCGAGGGAGTTTCGGCTGCCCCGGATCCGCTAACTCTCAAACCCTCTTAGTCTCGCGAGACTAGGGTATGACGAGATTGCGCGAGAGTTCGCCCCACATTTCAAACCAGGAAACCCCGTATCGGTCTTTTCCCCATAGTCGCCGTACGAAAGGAGGTTGGTCCAAATGTATGACGGCAATATGTACCCTTATTTCATCGAATAAAAATTTTTGTGCAGAAAGATTACACATGATACTAATGTAGAATGTCTGTGCTTTTACAGGATGCCAGCTAAAGGGCCCTCACAGTCGGTACAAGTCTTCGGACGGAAGGTAAAGTTTGGACATGTGTTACCGCTAGACTGTGTGGGGAGGGGGGCAAATATTATACACATGGATATAGCGTTTACACGTTTTGTGCCTTCACAGTCCATTTATGTCTCTAAAACATGTTGTAGTGGATTATTTGTTGCATTTTGGAGTACAATAGGAACGGCATCTGTAGTCTACTTATAAATTATGTTGAAATCTATAATCTTGTCAAAAAGTACATGATGTCAACACATGATGTTCAACGTTTACTAACCAAAGCAAAGGAACCAAAGGCCTGAAACCGCATAAATTATGAAGTTCTTGGGACGTTTCTGAAATATAGTTTTGACCTCTTGTGTTTTAATAGGGAACAGGAACACTAAACTACTACAGAGAACACAGGGTTACTTAGTATATACTATTACTCACCCTATGATATACTTGCACAGATGCCAAGCCTAACCGAGGTAATTTTTGAACACAGAAAACCGCCACTGCTGTAGCTCACTGCAAGCGTGGCAATGGTCTGTTGAAGATCAACGGGCACCCCCTGCAGCTGTGGGAACCTGCCATGCTCAAGTACAAGGTAAGAGCAATAAGGTTACACTCTCACAGTTTTCCAGATCCATAAGCCAGGACGTGTGCCTGATAAAAAAAAGAAGGCTGACGATGACATTCTAATGTGGATTATTTTTCATATATTGTCCCAAAAATGTCCCAAAGTGTCTTTATAGTTGTCCCAGCCTATATTTTACTGGTCAGTGGCCGTTGAACCACCTTTAATTTTGAGCCCTGTAGTCTACCCTTCACTCACTACACTCTCTGCATTAATTTTGTGTATCAGTATCGTCAGAGATTGACCGTGTGTTTCTGTGATGTTTCCAGCTGGAGGAGCCCATCAGACTGCTGGGTAAGGATCGCTTTGCCGGCGTGGACATCCGTGTGCGAGTGAAGGGTGGCGGTCATGCAGCGCAGATCTATGGTGAGGACAAGACCTGATTACACTCGGTTTTAAGAGTCTGTACTAATGTGCAATATACTATATAGTCCATATTTTGTAGATATTGTGTATCTGTGATGAACCTGTTATTAGTGTTAAAAGATATTCAATTGATTGACCTTGCTAAGTAAAGTCTGTAGACAGACGGAAAATAATCCTCCAGTAGGGCTAGCTAAAACATGTAGTATTAATTTCAGCGTTATGTACTATTTCAGTCTTCTATACTCATGTTTTACATCCTCTAAACTAAACTACAAGTGGTCATGTGCATTTAGCCCATTTGGGCAGGAATATGCAATCTGTATCTGTATCTGTATCTGTATCTGTATAGCCGGTATAACCGCCTTTCGGCGTAACACACCAGCTTCGCAGGCACGCGGCGCGGCGGCAGCTGGCTATATTACACCGATCGACTTGTTCCACCTAACCCTTGAACTTCTAGCTCTAGACATTGTTTAAAGCTATCTATTGACAGTGCCCCTACTGTACTTGGTGACAGTGAGTTCCACTCTGCGATAGTTCTAGGAAAGAATGAATTCTTGAACACCTCAATCCTTGGTTGATAACTCTGGTACTTGAATGCGTGGCTATTTCTTGTTCTCTTCTGAGCTGGTATTAGGTACTTAGTAGTTGGGACATCCACCAGTTTATTAGTCATTTTGTACATCATGCATAGTCTAGACATCTTTCTTCTGTCTTCAAGTGAGGTCCACTGTAGGTTTCTTTTCATTTCCGTGACACTAGCACCTCTTACATAGTTGTTCATACAGAATCTTGCAGCTTGAAGTTTCATCAATCCTTCATATTTTGTATTTTCCAGCTATCCGTCAGTCCATCTCCAAGGCTCTTGTTGCCTACTACCAGAAGTGTGAGTGGTCCTCTTTTGTTCTGAAAGAACTTGATTACATATGATACACAATGCCATTGTAGCTTTAACTGACCTTGACTGATACTTGTTAATGTTTCGTCTTGTTTACAATAGCAGTGTATTGTTGGTTTTAAGCAGTTTTACATTTACATCATTATCCTGTGTTGTTGATACTAGTTGCTTTGCATTACAGCTGTACCAGTATCTGTAAGACCACACTATGGTGCATGTTTATATATTTGTACTCTTGTGAACTAACAAGTTGTCTTTCTGTCCAGTTGTCGATGAGGCCTCCAAGAAGGAGATCAAGGACATCCTGATCAGCTACGACAGGACGCTGTTGGTCGCCGATCCTCGCCGCAGAGAGCCCAAGAAGTTTGGTGGTCCCGGTGCCCGCGCACGCTACCAGAAGTCGTACCGTTAAACATGATCTGGAAATAAAGATCCACCTGTTCATACCTACAAACTCGTGTCCTTTATTTTCTTTGTGGTACTTTTTGATGCTCAAAGTCTAACTAGTGGTGGGTACCAGTTTGGCTTGATGAGGTTTAGGTCCAGACCTGAACCTGTCTACTACTTAGTACTAGACTGGTACTCAGCTGTACTATGTGTACATCATATCTGGAGAACAAGACCCCTTTAATTTAATGTTAGATATATATATATAGTTATTTTCTTGAGTCATGGAAACCACTAGTCTTACAAAAGCTACCACATACATCAGTTATACGAACAACCAACAATTGAGTTTTGACATCTGTAGCAGTCTTTATTAGTCCATCTTATTTAAGTAGAGGTATATATTTACAAGGTGAACAAACACAGTTCATACTGCACAAACCTTTTCACACTGCCACTAATGGAATTTTCGTTTCTTTCGAGACATTAATAAAAGATATGTAAATACAAGTCAATGATAAACTCTACAATGCACCATGATATATGCATGTTACCCAGCACTACATTTAGTGGTTCAGTAGGTTTTTAACCAAAGGTACAGATAATGCAGCTAGATGGATGCGTTAACATAGGAAGCTGCCATGTAAAGGAGATTGACTTGCTCTCCTTATTTCATTGTGTCAAAAGGACTTTCTAATCTTGCAACCCACTCATTTCTGGGAGGCTGACCAGCTTGTACTGTATGAAACGAGGTAACATAGATGACAGATACATAGATAGTTGTCAGGTGAGACCCATCACTCTGAAGTACATGTAACAGCATTTTCTTGATGGGGATTTTGGTCAGTCTTGCCAACCATTTGTGTTTCTCATCTGTACCATTCTCTAAACAGCCACCTATTTGCATTGTGATAACTTCAGATATGTCTGTCTTTAGCAGTTCTGTCCCTGGTCAACATTCATAGCCAAGGTCTTGATAACTTCCACAGCTGAATCATGTTGGGAAGAGGTTGTAAACTCATCTACTTCCTCAAAACCATGATGAAGGATGTTACAGCTGCATGACACTACAGCAAAATTGAGTTCGTCTCGTGGCTTCAGAAATATTGTCAGTTGTGAGAACACTCATTTTCCCGGACGACATGACAAAATCCTTTACAGGTAAGTATTGCACTTGTGAGCATATGGTTTTCAATGTCCGTAAAGCATTGTTCCCCAGTTGTCTTGGGATGCTTATGGAATCCTGGGATTCCATTCCTGGCCTAGTCCTGTAAGTGGTGGCTTGACTCTGAACTGGGATCTGTGCCCTGGGATTATCATGGCATAAAATTCAAATCCTCCATGCAACTAAAAAAAACTTCCAGTCAGTTCAAGCAGTCTTGACTCAGAAACACTGTTACAGCAGTCCTCTTGGATATCCTTGGAAACATTACAGAATCTGAACAGGTAACTTCTTGTCAAAACTGTCAACTGAGATGAGGAACATCACTTCTGTCGTGACATCAGTGTCTGGAAATAGGACACCGGTATTTCTTTTCCTAGTCTGAAGCTGTCCATTGGTAACTTTGTGGGATCTGTGCTGTTTGAAATCGTGACTTGCAACATCATAGTAAATATGGCTTGATGGCCTTTCTGACACAATGATTTGCCAGCTTTTTTAGTTTGAATGAACAATAAGCATCAGAAGTGTCTGTGATACCCTCATGCTCTCCTTTTCTTCCAAGATGGCTGACATGCCTCAGCTACAAAAGATGCCGGGCACCATAATTTTCAGTGAAGTCTTACTGAAACTGTCGTTGTGTTTACTTAATGTACCTTGGTCTACAAACCTACTGAACCACTCTTACAACCTTCATAGATTCACAACAACGTAATGTAGAATAACTTCACAAAGTCATAAAACATAACAGATACATTGGCTATCAAAGCCTACCAAAGCAATATCACCACAATTGTCTTCAATATTTGGTCATTGACAATTAGATCTAAGTCACAAGTGCACACAATATATTATACAGTGTGTTGTAGACATATATGCTACAGATGGTTAACTCATACCTAAGTACAATATAGCCAAAAGAAATATCAACACTGGATATCACGGAAAAATGTGGCAGTGATTACAAATGTACTTTGAATGACATCTGAATCATTTGTACATTCAGTAACACAACAGGGATACTTCAAAAAGTAAGGGAACATCAGCATTCCCCTTGCGTTCTTTCATGAGATGTGTAAGAAAAATATCAAGCTCTTACTAATATTACACATATACATGTGTTTCACTCTCTATACACTGAGTTACAAGATACATGATTTTTCTTATGATACAAGTATCTGTTAGGGGGTTAGGATATCAAAGTTAACTATTGCATCTAATGGATACCAATGTCATCAGAGACAAGTGGTAGCTCTGTTTCTGTAAGCAGCATATTCCCTCAGACCGCCACCATTTGTAAAACAACGTAAGCGATTGTTCAATCAATCAATATATCATTTCTCCGTATTATTGCGAAAGAATTAAAACAGCAAGTTTCAGACTTGAATCAGCCCCTTGTGTAACACAACACGTCTTCTTAACAAATGGGCACACAGTATAACAAAATACTTTGGGGCTTTTGAAATGACATGTTCATGAATAACTGGAACTCCCAAGTTTGTAGGATTTAAAAAGTAACCAAATCTCTTCATGTAGTGTGTGTTGCAAATATGAAATAAGCAACACTTATTTGCACAGTGACTATCAGGACATATTAACAAACAAAGTGTTCTGCAATGGCTTGGTTAAACATATTTGAAGGCAAGTTAACATGACAACTACTTGCACAACTAGAACAGAACAGATCAAGTTGTGTTACTAGCAGCCATGAGCTGTCCCAAACTGTTGTCAAGGAATGTCTTCCCATCTCGTGGAAGTGTTGAGTTGAATGACTTCAAACTCCCATCTATTCTGGATCAGTGCTTCTACGAAGACTTTGAGAAGCACACAAAATGTTCCATCTAAACCTGCATCTACCGACAGTTTTGTTGTATATCTATCTTGTAAGTGTTGATACGATTATGGCTCAGCTGCTGAACAATTGTGGAAAGACATACAGTGTATACTAGAACTGAAAAATCTTTGTGTTGCTGACCAGACTTTGGGACAGATCCGACAAAAACTGACTTGGCAAGCCAATACATGGCACAAAATGGCAGAATATGTACACATTCACATCTTAAATGTCTACTTTTTCATTGAAGTCTACAACTTGTAATACACCACATAAAGATTTATAAAAAAATCAAGTTTCTTAGTTGGTAGTCCTAAGCTGATGATCAGCTGTTCAGCATCTCGTCCAGTTCAGCCATGAGGCTGTCGTCATCCTCAGCGCCCACAGCCAGGTCTGCCTCCTCTCCCTCAAGGTCAAACTCAAAGTCATCAAAGTCCATGCTGTCCTGTCTGCTGACCAGAGGCGGCTGTTCCAATGTTGTCTCATCTGGTTGTGTACTAGTTGGTAGTTCATCTGTGGTGCTTGGAGTTTTCTGTGGTTCTGGAACTACTGGCTGTGGTGTCTTCTTAGGAATGGTAAGTGGTGTGGTGCTGGAAAAGAAAAAAGCAACTTTTATGCAAATCTTAAGTGCATGAAGATTTTTTTGAGACAGGCAACCAACAGCTGATTTGACATTCCAAACCATTCCTATAGTATAAAGTCATGGCATTTTTTCCTTGAAGTATTTGAGCAATACATCTAACCCTCTGAAAACAGGAAACAACAGATTATAAACCGGATAGTGAGTGAGTGAGAGTGAGCAATACATGTGTAGCTGTTTTCTTTCTAGTAATCACAGTGCTTGAATTACAAAAATTTTCCCCATCTTGCATCCCTTACCTGATCAGCTTTGGCTTCTTAGCAGCAATGACTTGTCCATCTACAGGGACAGTGACTGGAGAGGGACTGGGAGTACTGACAGATGGCTTCTGGAACAGCAAAGCAAACAAAACATGTTAGAAACATAGGCAGTGTTTCTCGTAGCCTTGCAGCTTAGAAAAGCCACTCTTTGAATGGAAGGTATATTTGATTCACATGCGTCATTACAAAAGTACACTATGTTACAGTTTGAAATATCTCACTACTCACCTGTCAATATTCAGAAGTCTATTTCATCAATTTTACTGAAAGCCACATGAAAACACACTAAAATCAGTACATCTTCTTCAGTACACAAGTAAGTAAATGATCTCACCTTTGGTACTCCCTGTCCCACTGACACAGGTGCAACACTGGCAGCAGGTGGAACACTACTGCCCATAGGTGGAACACTACTGGTACTGCCCACAGGTATAACACTACTGCCCAGTGGTCTTTTTATCCCTCGCCTAGCTGTGGAGGGTTCCTGAGGGGGGGCTCCAACTGGAGTCAGGCCTAACTTCACCTTCTTGGATGGTTCTTCTGTGGATAAAATGTAAAACAAAACAGAGTATTTCCTATGCTGCATTCTGTACATTACTATAAAAAAAAACAAGCACGGATGTCAGTGTTCCATGTTTCAATCTACAGTATTGACACATGAGGGAATAGCTATACCAAAGACAACTGTAGTCTACTGTTTTTACCTCCTTTGGTTGGTTCAGGCCGAGGTTGCATAATCACAGCAGACTTTCTGGCCAGTTTTGGCGACACCTCGGGGGCCTTGCCTTCTGGCTCCTCAGACTTCCCCTGCTGTTGTCTCAGCTTCTTCTCCCGCATAATCTCCTCAAACGTCTTGATCTTGATCTGCTGGGGAGCGACTTCAGAAACCTTCTGTAGAAAAATAGTGATACAGACTTCAACTACAGCTAATACAAAATTCTTACCACATGTAAGATGCAACATTTTTTTCAAACGAGTTTAATAAATGCAGTGGCTATTTCATCAGCATACAAGCATTTCTCTCTTTACTCCCTTTCTAACGGCTATGTTGTTCTTGCTTTCCTTTTCAGCAGACAACAAACAATAAACATGTACATTCATGCCTCTATTCCTTCCATTTCATTTCTGTACCATAGACACTAAACACTAAACCAAGTCCTTACAGGTGCAGTCTTTTCTGGAGACTTCCTTGATGCTTGTACTTTCTCTGGTGACTTCCTTGAGACTTGTACTTTCTCTGGAGACTTCCTGGTGACCTGAACTTTCTCCACAGCCCTGCTTGCAGCCTGGGGCATTTGTGCTGTGGTCTTGGCTGACAACTGGGTTGGGCTTGTTTCAGCTTTTCCTGCCACGACTGGACCTACAGTAAAAGGTAATGTTTACTTATCCGGTAGCCAATAACACAATGAATTTCGAATTCATTCTGTATTCTTCAAGTATAAAGGGAAACGGGAAATCTTACATGTAAAAACAAAACATTAGTACAAATTGTCCTGACTCAAGAATAGGTACCTAGTTTGAGGCAAGCATATTAAAAAGAAAACATCTAACATTACATCTTACAACAATAAAAAGCCTCCATTTTTAAGACCATCACAAACAGACACCTATGTGTACCTGTATCCTTGCCCCGTGGTGGTCGATACAGCTGCATCTCTCTCTTGACTCCCTTCCTAACGGCCACGTTGTTGTTGCTTTTCTTTTCGGCCGCATCGGCTTTGGCTTTTTCTACTACAGTTTGTGGATCCACGAGAACAACTCGTCTGACTCCCTTGTTCTTCTTGACTCCACCAGGAGCTTGAAGCTCGGCTGTTTTGGAAACAGGGAGTTTTGAAGGAGAGTCTAGCTTGTCTCCATTATTATCTTCTCTAGCTGGCTGGCCGGCTCCTCCCAGATTATGTAATGCCTTTTCTCTCCTGATGTCAGCTAGTGTTTTGACTTGTATGTTTCCTGGCTGTTGTGTGGGTCCCATGACTTCCTCCTTCCATGCTATGCTCTCTTTATTACCAAGTCTACGGAGTAGTTTTTCCCTTTTAATCTCTTCTAAAGTCTTGATGCTGACAGGTCCCTCTTGTTGAGACTCTTTGTTGTCATTCTCAGCCTCCTTGGGAACTTTACCAAGTCTGTTGAGGAGTTTTTCTCGCTTAATTTCTTCAAGTGTCTTTATCTTGACTTGTGATTGAGCTTCCAAATTTTCCTCCGTTGTGACTTCATCACTTTCATGTGGTAGATTCCCAAGTCTCCTCTTTAGTTTCTCTCTTTTGATGTCTGCGAGGGTTTTTATCTGCACTTGAGGTTGACCCGTAATGTCTTGTTCTTCAGCTTTGACACCTTTCTGGTATGCCGTACCTAGTCTACTCATCAGCTTTGCTTTTCTGATGTCTGCTAGCGACTTAACCTGAACTTGTCCCACTTCTTGAGATGTAACTTCTTCGTCCAGGTCTTCTTGTTGTTGAGACTTGTTTCCGAGTCTACTCAGGAGTTTCCCCCTCCTGATCTCTGCCAGACTCTTCACCTGGACCTGTCTGGTGGGTGAGAGTTGGGACGTGTTCAGCCCTTGGCTTGGCTGCTGCTGCTGCTGCATCCTTTCTCTTCTGATTTCCTGCAGAGTTTTGATTTTAACCCCGCTCTCCTGCTGTGGATCACTTGTTCCCATGTCTTCTGTGATATAGAAGTAAGGAGAAACATGAAGTTTGCATTGTGCTAAGGCCCAGCCTTCTCAAAAAAATTTAGAGTAGGTGGCTGATAAGAAAAAGTAGCAGGCGAGCCACGAAGTGGCTCGAAGCGAGCCGCGCAGCGGCTCGCAGGGGGAGGGTACGGGGAGGGGGGGTGG